ATTGGATACGAGCATGATGTAATTAAAAATATTTCAGATTTTAAATTGAAAACAATACTCTAAGAGGTTATCTAATAAGCAAATATCAAATGCTAATATGATAAATTAATTCAAAGTGGAAAATTCCGGCGGTACTGGTGAGGAGCAATAGCAATATTTACTCTTGAGTTTGTATGTGAAAAACACCACAACGATATTATTATTACAGACTCGGTAAGGTATATTTGTAATCATTATCACAGGCACAGTAAGGTAAAATGTAATTATAGTATCAAGGAATCTGTGAGCTACCATGTATATTTGTAATTATCAATATTATAGTGTTTTCATCCATATGCGTTGCAATGTACTTTTTTAAGGTACCGTGTCCCTTATTCTAGGGCCATGAGACCTGTGGGAGTTGGAGCCAGACTATGAACTACTTAGGTATAGATATTTCTACCCAGGTGACGCCTTTCGTGGACACCATTGCCACGTGCTCCCAGTATGCCAAGTGGAGGTGCAGTGGTGCAACGGGTCTTGGAAGTTGCAACTACGTTACTGACAGAGGTAATGTCTTAGTTCAATATCCTTAAGGTTCCTTTACAATGGATGGCGTCCTAATGTAGTCAGGACGCTCAACGTCGCCAAAGCAATTAAAACGTGTATCACTTTTTTATAAATGCGTCTGCGTCCGTTGTTCAAGTTTCCTAACGGAACTCGTACAGATTCTATGCAACACTGTAAAAATTCTATCGAACTTCCTATAGGATTTTTATGTAGGGCGTTGTCCTATGGGACTTTATAGGCAATTGTGCCAACATCCTTTGGGGTCCTACGACTCCCCCCCCCCTACGATTTTAGCATCCACATAGACAGAATAAACAGCCACGCAACTTTAAATTCACACAGGTGCATTACACAAAGGTCTCATTCCCAATGAAGCTGTCGTCCAACTCCATGGGGACTCTCGCCTCCTCCTGGTGTTAAATAGAATGAGTTGGAAGCAAGATAAGGTGTGTAAGTCCGTTAAACTGTTTTTTTTTTCAGCAACACCCCCTGCGGGGTTGGATCAATCTACGTAGGACGATAGTTTCATTTGGAGGAGTCTTAAGTTTGAAACCTCATCACCATTGTTATATCTCTAGAAACCATAGTAATGTTATTCAAATTGTGACGCCAAACTTCACCTTGAAACAAACAAAGAAACAAACAAATAAAAAAACGGCGTGCACGAGTGAGACCATTTTAAACAATCACTTTTGTTTCGTTAAAAGTCATATTACAATGTATGTCTTAAACATCGCTTGTACATTCAGGTGGAACAAAAATCCCGTATTGGGCTGGTGGTAATAGTGCCAATTTATGTGCCTGTGGAGTTGCTGGAAACTGTGTCGGTAAGTTCTAATTTGTTATAAATTGCCCGGTTATTTTTTCGTGTTTTGTTTGAAGGGCCCGGTTTGTTTGGAATAACGTACATGTATGTATGTATCTCTAGTGCGCATAATATAAATATATAACATAATAAAAAATAATAGCACTTTCTCGGTATAATTTTTTGCTTCGGACATGAAATACTTGGAATCACGCTGGGCAGTCATACAACACTTCAAGTGACCTTCCCATTTTTCCAGCGTGCGATTTAAGAATAAATTAGCGGATTAAAATATCTGGGAATGCCTGTACAAGTGTGCTAATGCCCATCACTACAGAGTGTCCCTCTAAAGTTTTTTTTTTTTTTTTTTACTTTGTATTTTATTATTTCCATTTATTGCATCCGTCGATCGTTCAAACTTTTTGAGGTCGGTTAAAATTGCATTTCCCAAAACTCTGTCCAGTTAACACAACGATCAAAAGTAAACTGAGAATTTAACACAGTCACTGATCTAATTCAGACGGCAGAAGTGACTGCAACTGCAACAAGAACGAATATGTGTTAAGAGAAGATGAGGGATATTTCACAGACAAGTCCTTGCTCCCAATTGAAGCTTTCTACAACGGTGACACGGGACACGCCGGTGAATATGGCTATTATACCATTGGGCCATTGGAATGTCAACCTGGTGAGATTGCATTTATTTTTTCATTATAACATTTTCTCTCATTGTCTGTCATTACGTAATTCACTGATCTTATTCGTCGTATTTCTTGCCATTTAAAAGAAAGACACCCCATATTGCATGGTTAAATTTGTATTATTCATGTGACAATTCAATCTATAATTCTTTATCTTTTTCTAAGTTGAAGTGGGTTTATGTGTGCTTGTTAGGTAATGGTCACTATTGAAAACAGTGGCAATTAAAACCGTTTTGTGGGATCATCTGGTGAAGGTATGAAAAAATTGATCATGATTTTAGGTCATTCAGACGGTCTTTATTACGAAACCAATATTTTCATTGTAATATTATAAAAATAATATCCCAACACAAATTTATACTTGGTCTGGAATACTGACATATGGAATATTCCCGTTTCATTAGCTTTGCCCTCTTGCACGGAATGGAAACGGTTTAACAGCACTAGCGGCCTCTATTGGGTTGACCCAGATGGCGGTGGAGGTGTGGCCGCTTTCGAGGTGTATTGTGATATGTCAACTGCACCACCCACTGTGACATTTCACCATGATTATGAAGACAGGACACACGTGATGGGCTATGACGCGGCTTTGTCCTATTCGGTAGATTTGTCGTATAACTGTAAGTGTTGCTTTGGAGTTAATGCATTGATATTTAAAAAAGCAGCACCCCACCCCCCACCCCCCCCCCACCCCCCAGTTGAACTTATTAGTAGTTGCGTTTATGACATGAAAAACTATTGTCTTTGTCTGTTTAAACCTCGAGTTTTACTGATCTGCTCTATTAGAATATAAAAATATACACATGCAAAATGTATTATAATCATAGAAAGGTATGGATAACTCTACCAGTATCTCCTCAACACAATTGTTATTCAATTACCAGAATCTATCGCTCATTGAAGTGCAGGGCTCCGTAACTCGAAAGCGTCGCGCATTGTGACCGAGCGCAAGCGTCTCTATTCCATAACTCGGGATTTACTCGCCCCATACAGGCCCTAATAGCCTCGAAATGAAAGGTGATTCGCAATTCGCTATGCTTTCGAGTTACGGAGCCCTGAGCCCCGTAGCTCGAAAGCATCGCGTATTGCGAATAGCGATATCATATACAGGCTACAATGTATTATATGGGGCGAATATGGGCGAGTTATGGAATTGAGACGCTTGTGCTCGGTCGCAATGCGCGATGCTTTCGAGTCACAGGGCTCAGATCTATCTGCTGCAGTGTTGTACGTTGTATGCATGTTTCAGTAACTACAGATCAAATAGCAGCTTATGTGGATATCGTCGGCTTCAACTGTACCCAATACATCAAATATGAATGCTACGGTTCAAGTTTACAAAATCATGCCGGTGCTATATTTGCCGCCTGGTACGATCGGCACGGACAGCAGTCAACATTCTGGGCCGGCGGGGATCCAGATGGCACCACAGGCAATTGCGCATGCGCAAAAGACGGATCCTGTGCACACGCCAACAATTGTAAGTTTTGATGGCACCAAGGTTATAAATTAAAGCGTAAAAATAAGGAATTGGCCTGTAATTTATGTGCACATTTCAGTAATCTTCGAGTTCGTTATTTTATATCATTTCATAGATAAAATGAAGAAATAAATAATGCAAAACATTTGGAACATTTAAAAAAACATTTTGTTATCACTGAATTGTAATTACACATATACTGTTCATATATTAAATTGTAGATTGCAACTGCGACTCAAATGACTTCGTTTGGCGAACAGACGAAGGTTACATCACTCAACCGGAGTATCTGCCAGTGTCTATTGTAAAGTTTGGGGACGCTGGTGAAGGACAGGAACAAGGCTATCACACTATAGGACCTGTGGTTTGCCTGGGATAAGGCCCAGATGGGCAGTTCACCAGATGCTTGCTTCCTTCTTTGTCTTTGAATATTGTGGATCCATCCGACTTTGTCTAGTTATCACAATTTAATTGATATTGGGACGTAATGATAACATAAATGAAAACTATCATAAATTATTGGGAATACGAACACAGTGCGTGTCCAGGCATGTTTACGGGAACAGATGGAAGACCACTGTTTACACGACATATTAACATACCCGGCTATGGTATATGCATTTTTTCTGTCATTATGTAAATGTAAATGATAGAGGGTAGTGGTGATTATGTACAAAAAATTAATTACAGAGAGGAAAATATACAATATAATACGTTACAGTAGAGGTAAAATGTGCAATTTAATGTAAAATATTCTAATTATGCACTATCACTATGAGTGCGGGGCAGCTTGACAATATATTTTTACGTAATGACTCACAATCGGCAAGGCTTTTATATCCTTTGTACATAGTAATACATTTATCAGAATCACTTATATTTTTACTGAGTGTACCCTATTAGCTGTTTATTGACAGTTGCATCACGATAATCTAATACCGACATTCCGACTTCACAAATTTGCTTTGGCCACTGTAGGAACTTACTGAATTTGTCCAATTCTAATGAAAATGAGTACAAAAACAAGTCCTACTGCAATTGTGCTCTGTGTAAATATCAATGCTTACATAATGCAGACAGACAGGTAACTAGAGGGAGTAATGACGGGTTGTCTGTATTCTTATTCTTTCTTGAATCAACAAACAACCGTGAAACTACTGTAAAAGGAGAACAAATAAACAATAAACATCTCATAAAACAATCTAATCAAACCAAATTTACATGTAGGGGCCTACTTACTTATACAGTTTCCAAACACTGTTCATATTTAAAAAGGTGTCAATTCCTCATTAACAAAATTAATTAAAGCTACAAATATGTCATTTCATAAATTTTACAGCTTGTGGCACAGTAATTAAATCTCGTCTCATTTTGACGACGCGTGGGGAGGCGTGTGAGAGGTGGAGAGACCATTACAGGATTTAGCAGTTTTCCTTTCATGTAGGTCCGCCGTATTTAGGCTGTGGACAAGCTAGCACTCTGTTCTTCTCATTCTGAATGGCCCCTAAGCCACGTTTCCCTTACATATGATATTGCTAACACTATTGTAACACTATTGTGAGATCAAACACTTACTAGTAGCAAATACAGTACATACTCTATAAACATACACTTATAATGTAGTCATTTAGTGTGAATAACATTACTCTTAAACAATAACATAAATGCCATATGCTTACTTTTTAGCTATCTTCTAAGGTCTCCTTAGCTAAGGTTCTGCCTGTCTCACTACTTTCAAACGTCTGCCAAAATCAGCACGGAAAAGGCTAGTAGGTCAAATGGACTACTTCTCACTTATGTAAATCATAGGTGGAGAGACTGTGATTGTGTTAGCTGTGCTTCTAGTACTGTCGGCGCAATCATTGCACCTACAAGTAATTCAATACCTAGATCGTAATGCAGTATGCCGGTCAAGTGCTCGGAAAGGTGATTAAAAACACATGCCTGCTTACGAATGAGGCATATTCAAGGACATTAATCTCCAGTCTTCAGTTGCAAGTGTTTTTTTTTTCATTGAAATAACACTATGCCTGTTATTTGATTAAACTGAACTTACCAGTAAAAATCTCATTATACTGTATAATCACTGCACTATTCACAGTAAATGGACGCAAAACAATCAGTATTGTGTGGTTTATTTTAAAGAAAACGTATGAGAGGTAGTCTTCACACTTCACCACATAGTCAAAATACAAATGACAACGCAGACAAAATGGAGAAAGTACAACACTGATGAAAAAGGCGGACATGCGGAAATAACTCCAACTTTTCTTCGCGCAACATCTATGTTAGGATTCGGTTTATTCACATCAAATCCAAACTTCATGCACGGCTGGTCATCTGGCGTGACCTTGAAGGAAAAATCCCAAATTGTTTCGCAGAAGTTGGTGGACGAGTTGTATATGGCATCATACCGCCTGCATTGCTGTCCTGGTCCACAGATATTCAAACCTGTTGAAATGACATAACAGTATTTTGAACATTGCGATACACTTACGTTATTTTTATCAGTTTCATTTATTTGCAAAAACAATGTATGATAAAACCAAAGTAACTTATTTTGTTCCACATTAAACCGCAAAAAGACGTGGAGAAGTCACACTTTTACTGGTCGATTTTCAATATAAATTTTCTAGGCAATCAAACGTCATCGGACAATTATATATAAACTGCAAATGTTGTCATACCATGAGCAATAGAAAACACCCAATTCTAATCCTGTATGTACACTGCTATACATATCAACAAACGTTATTATATATATGGCATATCTTGATTAAATGGTCGTCATTGGGCTTATAAGAACATGCAGTGCGTTAGATGTGATAAAATAGCCTCGTTGCAGTGTGTTAGATGCGATATAATAGCCTCTATAACACAATGCTGAGCACTCACCGTTTGCGTCACGCACAACGTCGTTATACCAGTTAACATAACAAGTAAACTCGTGTTTGCACGCGTCCCACCAACGATTGCATTCACTGGCACACAGTGGGACATCCTTAAACCTCTCCTTCTCAGGTGCGGCATCATGGGTCTGAAAGTTTTATTTTTACAAAAACGTCTTTACTTTGATGCGCGATATTGTCATTCGTTGAAATAATAAACCTTTAAAGGTGTAAATATTTTAAAGAGGACAGTGATAGCTTAAGTTTCAATTGCCTGCATGTCTTTGAGGTTCAGTGATTTAGAATACAAAACTAAGGCGCAGGTTACTCTCTAATCAAAGGGTGCGCTAGCGGTCTGTTACATCGGTGTACAAAATTATTGTATCGGCTGTAAATAAACTTTAATTTTATTTTGAGGCCCCTGGTATCAAAAAAGAAAAGAAAACACTTAATTGGCCCTCTGACCTGTATTCTCATAGTAGTCCAATACGTGTTGGGACTGTGTGAAACACTTGCACTGCGCCTTAATGCAGACTAACCACAACATACATTAAATTAATGGGGAAAAGTGAAGTAAGAAAACAGAAAACCATTTGCTCTGTATTTCAAATTAACGTCAAATAGATCCATATACACGTATACTTACAGCTTCAGTAATCCAAGGTCCTATATTTGGGGAACAGAGGAAAAAACAAAGTTCGTCAAAGAACTCCCTGTGGCAGGCAGAGGACAGGGACGATTTCTGGGGACAGATATTGTAAATGGTGATGTTTTGAAAGTTTTCGTTCTCTTCAAATGTATTCGTGATCCCCGGTTTGCAGCAGCTGCGGTCTCGATAGCGAATACACTAAAATGAGAAAATATATAGGCCTAACTGTAACTCAGTGCCATACATTTAGCCTTGATACATGTATGCGTGTAGACCCTCTAGCCATGAAAAGTTTACGAGTACATGTAGGCAATTAAAAGTGTTTTAACAGTGAGTTGTGGGAATGCATTTACCCCAGCACGACCTGATCGTCGATTCCAACTGTATCGCTTGTGTTTGTTAATTTGCTTCATATATTGAATTACATTTAATACTACTATATGTCGTACACAAGATTTCGAAGCCACTCACTAGAGTAAACAGGGTATGCGCACATATCGAGTCCAAAGATACGGCATTTACATTGAATCAACATGCATATATATATAGATAATGCACGGGGAAGTTATAAAGTAATGGAAATGTCAGATCTGGTCGTACTTACCTCTAACTTCGTATCAGGAGAAGGGCTTGGTTTGCTAAAGCCTGGCAACAATTCCATGCATCTGTTTAAGGAATCGGTGGTCGTATCTGCCTTAACTGCCCATATCAAAAATACGGCATACACCATTTCAAAAGATACAATCGTCAGATGTTTCTGCTTAACGAACATGCTGAGAGCTTCACGAACGTATAAGCCTACCGGTTTAGCGGATTTACAAAGGAAATACCCAGCCCGAGTACGAGAAAGAGACGTCCTACTTTCCATTTGATATGAATCTTGTTTGACCCATTTTCAGTTATGGGCTCTTGAAATGAAAATACCAACACTGACGCGTGGCGGTTCAATGGGCTTACACAAGACGTGAATTTAAATGCCCCCTAGAAATTGTGAACATGCTTTAATGGGGAAAACATGTACATGTGTAACTGGAGGGGAAATGTCTGCTACGACGTTCAACGTATCTTTCAAATAAAGATCGTTTTGCACTTTGGAGTAATTCATCTTTCAGAGTCCGGTAAATGGGAAGGGTTTCCTTGAGGTGATATGTATAACACTACCATAAATACATAAGGAATCCCCTTTTAATATCGCTGACAATATAAAAATAAATGTATAATTCTTGGATGGATTGAACTTTTATTACACACTAAACAAAACATTCCATCTACCTTTTACACGACACCAGAAGGCAAATAAAATAAAATCAACCTGACGGTAAACACCAGCTTTGTCAACTTCACCATTTTGTTTATTTCAAAAAGTGCTCTTTCTCCATGCGTGCATTAAATATTTGATTCCTATGCCGCGCATGTTGAATGCAGGTGTTATTTTATTGTATTTAAAGGGATAATAACCTTTCGTTTTGGCCAAAAAATGAATTTTCCTGAACTAAACAACAATTTTCTCACACTTACCAATGGTAAATGAATCCATTTTTACATTCAAAGTTAGTCCCTGGTTTTTTTCTAAAAAGATTTTTTTTTTTTTTTGTTAAACTCTCTTAAGAAATTATAACAGAGTATAGCCATCAGTGGAGGTCAGGTGGTCTGAAGACAAGCTCAGATATCAGAATAAAAGCTATAACTGCCGTTTTTGTGGTAAAAAAAATATATATTATATTTCTATGAGTTATTCACAATGTTTTTATTGTGAAATATATTACCCCTTTAACCACAGGCGACCATTATAAATGTATGAATGTTCACTTATTGGTGCACATGTATAAGTATATGCTTGTGACGGTGTACATGTATAGTGAGATGAAGAACAGAAAATAGATCATTACTTTTAAATTCCTACATGTAGGATGTAATTATCTACAGATTAATGCAAACCTAACTCTTTTTATAAATTTATGTCATTACACTAATGCAGGATCATTCCCAAGTTAAACATGCAATTATTGTGTCCAAAGTCATCTCGGGGCTTTAAAATGTTATTGTTAGAGTCACTGTTGCTTGAAACAGAAAACGTCTGCTTTCCCTTGGTTATATCGGTCTACGTGTGTTTTGCAGGCCAAGTCGTCTCTGGCCACGATACCAGTTGACGACATGCATCCACGTCGTGGTTTCCATATCGGATAGCCCATGGTACCATCAGCTAACCAGCCGCATGCGCAGACATCAAGACCTTTACCCCATGCAGCTAATAACTGCGCATGCGTTGCAATAGAAGCGCCATATTTGGAACACATTTCCATTGCTTCCGCAAAGGTAAGCTTATAGTGTCCATCCGGCGACTTAACATGAAAAACTCCAGCTGCAACAAAAGAGTGTTAATGCAATAATGCGATGTCATTATTACTTATCATAATCATTGTTATCACTGTTGTAAAGGTTAAACCTACCTTCACATAGGCATACTTGTAGGGCTTGCATTTACTACTATGTACATGTAAAATGTATATTTATATACCGGATATTTGTCCCTTGTACAAATAAAAAAAACAAAATTATACAGATAATGTGACTTTTCCTATAACCCCTTATTTATAATTTATAAGCACAGGTATTCTACCTTTGGCACAAAATGTTGGATCTCTCTTTAATTTCTCTAGCTGTTGCTTTTGCGCCTCAATGGCCTCCAGCTGCTGTGACAGAATGCGGCTCTGGTTCTGGATTATCTCCACCAACGCAGAGCACTTCGGATCCTGTGTCTTCAACATTTCTTTTATCTCAGTGACCGCTGCCTTTAGTTGGCTGTTGTCTTGGCAGATGTTACAGTAGTTAATATCAGAGGATTGGCAGACCACAACCGCCGCTACCCAGATCCACATCACCATCACCACAAATCCTATTTTCTTCATTTTGTCCTGCATTTAACAAGAACTTCTAATAAAGACACTTACGTCTTTTCAACGACGGTTTTGTCATACTGTAGGTCGCATCAGTCTTGTAATAATCACAATGGCTAGAATTTGGATTATTAAATTAGTTTTAAACTTTTCTTGAAACCAAGATATAAAGAGTGGGGGTGGGTAAAAATAAGTACTTGGTTTATTTATACACTGTATGTGCCTCAGTGCGTGTAGATTGGGCGTTAAACCTCAACAATCTGTAGGAGCTACAGAATAAAAGATAATTTAGATTATCTTTAATTTGTCACTCTTAACTTTCTGTAAGATTCGCTTCACCCTATGCCAAGATTGTCTATAGTGAGTTGGTTTGCTTTTTAACAAGGCATCGATCAGAAAATATATATCTTAGTGCCTCCGACAGGTATTTCTCCTTGTCTGTTTTTAACCTAAAAACCAATATGGTATGACAACAGATTCGATTTAGATTGACGTTTTTCTCTTAACACCAGATGAAAACCTGTAAGTGCATGACTATGAACAACTAATGTCGATCTCACTTACCTGTTCAGTTTCCAGACCAGTATGTTTGGGGATGCTCACTTTTTGTGCGTTCGCAGAGGCGCCAGTAGCACAGGACTCCAGTCACTCTCTAGAGACACGTATAGCTCTGAATTCAGCAGGATATCCGGGATCATGTAACACAATGATTTATATAGTATCGGCCTACACGTATCTGTGACCTACGTCACTCTGTGTAGGTCATTGATTTAATGAAGGGATTCGACACCGCAAACGTCTACATTGTTCCCATTCAAAAGTAAGTTAAAAGTATAAAATTGTTGCAAGCGACTCAGAAAAGAGTGTGTTATGTTTTGGGAATAAAAGTAGTGGTTTTCTTCAACAGCTGATATTGAAATTGTTTGACTCTGTAGAAACTACCGTGTAGTTAGACACCCAAATGGAGGCACATAATTCCATTACCATCCTTTTATTGAAGAAAACTCACTACTTTATTCCTTGCATGCGTCTTTATCTAAAAGAAAAGGGTACAAAGAATCCGTTAAGAAAGCGGGGATTTTTGCAATTTGCAGATTATATGCTGTACGACGGTGACAAGACAAAATCAGTACCTCCTTTCTATCGGTCCAAATTGCAATACTATCCCGGAAGTTGGTGGACAATTGTGATAATTTTCATTAAGAATGGAAGAAAAATGCCTCGCAAGGTCAAGTTATGTGTATGTGAAATATGAAGCAGATGATGGTTAAAAAATAGCGTGCATGTTTTACCAAGCCAGTAGGGTACTGAAAAAGCTTTTTTTTTCTCCCCACCTCCAGACTAGGGCCGTTTTGATCATTCCCCGACAATGCCTCTAGGGATGCGGTGTTAGTGCTAGGCCTACATGTACATTCGAGAGATTAAACAAACAGAGTATAAATAATGTTACGAGTGTTCAGATTTGAAACCTTAATAATTGTACTTCAGGCCTGTACTTTTTCCCTCTCTTTCTTTGATTATAAAATATTTTCTTATTATTTTCCTACAAATCACAGCAGTATTCTACAGCTAAGTGAAATTGATAAAATTTCATTAAGAGATTCTTTGAGAATTTACCCATCCGTGCACTTGTAAAGCTTTTACAAGGTTTAGTCATTGCGCTAGGGAATTGTGCCTCATACAATATAAACTAAATTGAAAAGTAACTATTGATAAGTTTTACGGTGTCACCTCCATGTATAATGAACAGTATTTATATCAACAATGTGCACCGTTGCCAGATCCCTCTGGTGAGTTAGTAAAGTGCCATAGACTATTCTTTTATAAGTCAATGATCAATTAAAATGATCGACTCAAACGTCCATTTGTTGATCCTCCGATCTAGAGAAAGGAACTTTAATTTAAAAGTTATTTCCGCAAGTAAATAATGTAGATACATGTACAAGTTGTCGGTATCTGGTTTAGTTCCAGATAGTTATTAAGACGTTTCGTTCTTTAAACATTGCTTTTAATAAACAGGCCAAATTAGGAGGTCTACATTAGATGAATTTTGGCCAAACTTTTCGTCTCTTCTTAATTAATTATCTCAACTGAAAGTTACAGTGCCACGGGACCAGATACGGCCCCCAGTCCTGCGGATGACTCCGGTTGTACCTCCTTTACAATCTTATCGCCGAACTGCGCGCACCTGAAAAGGGTACGGTTCAAAGGTCACGTGAAACGGTCCTTTGGTGACATCCGGTAACTCCTGACCGGGGACATTTTGGAATGTAAAATGTTGTAGCATCGTAGTAAAGAAAATGAAGTCTTCAATTTCTGCTAAATTTTTCCCTGGGCACACACGTGGCCCTAAAATGAAGGCAAAATGAATAGGCATCCTTAATATTAGTGCATCCTAATATTAGAATCAACCGTTTAAAAGTGATAATTAATCTTTCGAGTGTTTCACTTTGAATCACAATATAGGCAATAAGTATTTAATGGTTTTTGCAAAACTGAAATACAATCGTCGCACAAAATACAATTACTCTTGTTTAGTTTTTGTTCAGAATTGTCTATTCCACGGAGCAAAACGTACCGATTGAAAACGGTATATATTTGTCATTCTTCAAAACCTTCCCGGTTTTGTCCAGCCATCGTTCCGGTCTGAATTCCAACGGATCTTCCCAGTAGCTGGGGCTCCTAAGGACTCGCCCTATATCCGGTATGACCAGTGTGTTGGCAGGGATGGTATATCCACGTAGCTCTACAGTCTCACTTGTAGCATGTGCGAGGCTGTTGGGTGCTGAAAAGGGTTCCACATTCTGAATGTAACCACATATTGGGCCTTCAACAACTTCAACAACTAAAACACGCCCCCCCCCAAACCCAACCCTCAATGGGAACATTTGAAAAACGTGTACACTTTGAAACATTTTAGAAAATGAATGAAAAGTGATTCTTTGGGTGCCAAGCAGTTTTAATCCATTCCTGGGAGTGGGGTGGTGGATGGTCGTCTTTTCTTTCAGGATAAAAATTAATGAAAGAACACGTCTTAGTGAAACAAAACTAAAAAAACATTCTACTTGATCTTACCAAAAATCTAGAACACTGACAGCTTTTATCACTTGAAATTTTATAAACCATTTAATTTTGAAAAATGAAAAATAATCATGCAATGTTTGAGACAAGATTTATTATGTATATAGCTGGGGTAGGTCATCAAATAGTTGTAGAAATACATACATAACAGCAGATTAAAATGAAAATTGATCACATTTAAACTCTTTTAAAGTAAGCACTCCTTTGAACAATTTTGGCGACATGGAATTTTTTTTTTAATGATGAAAGACGAACTACTTCGAAAACTTATACCCGGATGATGTGTTATGAGAAGAGCGACACAGTAAAATGTCCGAGGTGTCTCGGTATAGTTCGAGTGATATACTGCATGTGTTTATTTGACACTAAGAAACACAATTGACGCAAAGTTTTCTATCAGAAGAGAATTTTCCCGGATAAGAACACAAAATCTTGCAGCAACGTTAGCGTCATTACATACCAACAGGGGAGCGTCTCATAATTTCCAGCACTGTAGCTTCTGTGTACGGCATCTTGTGGCGATCTTCATAGCAAGGGACTTTCTCACGACCGATAACCTGTGGCGACGGATAAAAATTCAGCTGATTAGTTTAAGCAATTCTCCTTGTGGTTACTTGAAAATTGAATTTATAATGTTAAAAATGTGTATTTATTTCTTTATTTATTTAGTTAGTAAGTTAGTTATTTGCTAAACGGTGTTTCAAATTGTTACGGTTTATTGAGATTTTATGGGTTGTTAGGCACGCCAATCGTGGTTCTTCGTATATATACTGTACATTATTAACTGTATTATTTGCATGATATGTAGACACTGGCGTTATGAGGATTGCAATTACTACATAAATAATGTCTAACTACACATTCACACATATCTGAAAATTGTCAATCACTCCAACTGTATCGGCACAGAAAACTGACCCTCTCGATGCGAAAAGAGCCTTTGACTCACAGGGTGTTTATAGATTACTTGCCCTGTCAATCTCGGCCTGGACCTTCTGTTGAACATCAGGGTGATGCATCATGTGAACGACACCCCACTGCAGGGCGCTGGCAGTGGTTTCTGTTCCAGCCAGGTACAGGTCCACTATCACGAAGAAGACGTTTTTTTCTGGAAAGAAATTATGACCATTTTATGGTAAAATTATCCTATGATTTATGAAGCAACATACATGAAAATTTGAAAATCAGAGTGCATTGCTTAAAGCAAAATATTTTCAGAACAACATTCTTTTATCTTTACGGAGTAAATCGCCTTAATGTCGTACCTGTAAAGACGTCTAAATCCTTTTCCTCCTGTAGCGTTTTGAGATAACAGTCGATAAAATCCCTTATATTTTCAGGGTCGAATGTCTTCCTGTGTTCCTCGACTTCTGTTTTGATCATTTCGGTCAGCTCTTTCATCTTCTCGACACGCAGCTTTTTGTAATTCTGAACATTAAAAAATGCACCATACATAACGTAATATATCAGATGCATGCGTTAGTGGGAGGGAAATACGAAATGATGAGTTATTATGCCGTATAGTTGACATAAAAGACTAAGATGAGAATATTACGTGACGTGGCGCCGTGCGTTGAGCAGTGACATGACGCCACTTGCAGTGTGGCTCTATGTGCTGTATTATTTTACATTTTCGTGATGTTACAAAAGAAAATTGTGCTCAGTAACGGATTTAGGGAGATGCCATGGGGGTCCAGACACACAACAACAACAACTTTACCTCAGTGCTTGGCATAAATATTTCGGCCCATGGTAAAAAGGTTGTTAAACCCAACCCAAAAGTGCGAAACAACTCTTCCAACTTTTGCTGCATTGTGGAGAAAAAAGGGTCGTCGATTTCATGCCTAAAACAGAAATTCGCTTGAAAGATTATCCAACTTGCTATCATAAATGTTTGGTTGGTCCTCCAGTTTGTCTGTCTGAAGGTCCGCTAGTTGTCCGTTTGTCTGTCTCTTAGATAATATCTATCCAATTAAACCACTTAAAATCTGGTCATTTTTATCTAAAAACAAAAAATATGTATTACAAAACGACCATGTGTTCATACAGTAGGTGACTCCAAAAAAAAAAAAAAACTAGTTTTACCTTGATCCAAATACAATAGTTGATATAATGTTATTGACAGTGTGTGTGATCAATAACTTTGGATCAAACGGTTTCCCGTCCTTGGCTTCTATCCCCTGAACCAAGCATCTGGCTTCTTCGCGGATTTTTGCCTCTAGGGAAGTCTTCCCCATGCCAAAATCTCTGAGGGTCGAAATGGCCATCCTTCGAAGCTCTTTCCACGCATGACCGTTCTTGCGTACAATTCCGGCACCTGAAAAATATAGGCCTACCTAAGTTATCGCTTTTAATTCTATCATCTGTATCAAAAGTACAGTGAGAACTCCTTTAAAAAATAGCAATAGTAAAATAAGGCCATAGCAATTAATAAAAATATTTTTAGGTTTGGCCAGTAACGATGATAATTTCTGCATCTTTAATTTCTGATAGGTTTGTAGCTTCGTCACTCAAAAAGTTGTGGACGAATTTTGATGAATTTTCAGGCAAAATCATTCGTTAATTGATAATGAGAATGAAGTAATGAATTTCATACGCTCAAAACTGTGCGTATTATTGATGTCACATACACTGTAGATCTACGATACTTATTCACACGTGCCTCCTTACGCTATACATGAACGTGCATTGTATTGACATCACATGGCAAATGTAAAGGCTTTATCGCCATAAGAATATTTATTATTATTATTATTTATTGCGGCTCAAGTACATTTTTTACAATGACTATGACCTAACAGTATACATTATATAATCATATAACTAAAATTACAATAGTAAATTACAATATTGTTTATACAATAACTGTGATTGCAGTATACGCTCAGTTACTTTGGTTGACTAGGTGAATAAGAGTTTACTAGAATTAACTTAATAGCCATGTTAAATTTTCACTAGATGAGGGAAGTCTATCTCCAAGCGCGTGCAATCTCTGAAACCCAATATCTACCGATATTTACCGTCTTCTTCCACTAACCCAGGCAGTACTAGTATTTTTATTAGTCTGTCACTGAAGGCGTGGCTCTTGGTGACAAGCGCCTCAAAGATGACGTCATAAGTGCCCAGTGCCACGGCGTGCACCTGCCCAAGCTTTAAGTGTACTATGTCACCGTACTGATCAAACAGCAGGTACAGGTCGTCCACTTGGCGGGGTTTACCCAGCTTATTAAGGTTCCCAATGATGGGGAGAGGGCGGGGTCCCGGGGGCCAGTTCACCCTAGGCTCCGTGTAAGATCTTAGCAGCCATATTCCAAGGCAAAACACGATGACAAACACGAGAAGTGTGGATATGTCAAGCCCTCCTTGGAGCAACGCGGCTGCCTGTATAACCCCACCCATTTCGGCGTTTAAACGAAGGCAACTTCTTTCTATGATGTCGTTGTCTTTGCCGTATAGAAAGTATAGTATAGCAGGAAACGCACTTCACTGGGCTAAAGCAGTATCCACCAGCGATCAACTGCGTAGTGATACATAAATATACAAAGGCTCCAGTGCAATTAAATACATGCACCTGTAATACCTGCTCAGCATTCTTGTACATTGTGCGCCATAAAAAAAAACATAATGTGGCGGCTTACCCGTCGTGGCATGCCTGGATAATGCACAAATAGGACAGGGTCCAGGTCGTAGTTATACAGCTTTTTAACAATATGTAGGCATAACCCAATTTGTGATCAATGTTTATTTTCTATAACCTTAGCCTATAACTTTGCGTCAAAAACAAACGAAAAAGAAATAGAGAAAAAAATGTATATGTATCCAGTGGTGAATCTTCACGGTATATGGGGCGGCATTTGAAATAAAACAAGACTCTGATTTCTTTTCTTTTTTTTCTTTTTCTCCTTAACATAGCATTGTTTTTCAAATCAATATTTCATGCAGAGACGATAAAAATACCAACAAAAGCAAGCTAACCTGTATTGTGCTATACACCATAAACGATGATATGTCTTAAGCGGTAGGCTGTACAAGTAGCGATAATGACACGTCCAAGATAATGTTTTGCAAATGATGTAGAAGAACCAAGCTTACAAATTCTCGGTGATCTGTCTCTGACTCGGAATTAATTGTGTTCACCGTCTGTTGTAGTTTCACATCCCGCTAGTCATTTTGAATGTCACGTCTTTCTGTACATTGCAGGAGAAACTATCGACGCCAGGTGCTTTTATTTGAAGGGTTTTTCTAGTTTTTAAGGTCTGAATTTGGAAAGATTAGCATTGCAGGATATGAAGGCATAGAAAATATGACTATGAGAAACATTCAAGCGCGTACATTTTACCTTTAAGCACCGGTATTCATTGTTCTTCCCATTAAGAGCGTGATCCCTGATCTAACCTTAATCGAAAAAACACACCCAAAGACAATAAGTTGAAAAAATATTGAATAATTTATTAATATCAGATTTCATAACGAAAAATGATACATTTGAAAGAAAACAATACAGTGAACGAAGTGTACGATCTTCTCTCGAGTTCTGAGCTATTCCAGGGGTACATACCACTAAAAGTGGGATGATCCTGCTCACGCCAGTAATACAAACATTTTGTGTAATATTTGCATAATTGTTTTAGTTCATTTTTTACTTATTGTTTATTTTTTTCATGGTGGAGGGTCCTAAAGTATAAAACAAAGAAAATAATTGGACAAGAAAGAACTGTGTGAATATTACACAATAAGCAATGCTGTGTCCCAGTCATTTTTTGTGAAATTATCCTAAATATAACCTTGAGGGTAATAAGCAATTATGTTTACCAGTCAAAATACCATAGTTCTCCGATACTCATACCTCCCACTGTTTTAACAGGAGAACCAGAGTACATTCCCATCTCTGCCACTGTTACAGCCACAGCTCTCTAAAATTCTTAAATTCCATTGTTGCATTGAAATAGCGAATATTGGATCACTTAGTTGGATCCATTTACGTGGACCAATACTAGATGTGGAATTGGGAATGAGCCCTCAAACCCTTGTAACACAGGTCCATACCAGTTGCCCTGAGTGTCAGGGCACTATAAAGCTAGCTTCCTCACTATAATCTTCCTCCATGATAAGGTAGCTTTCAGTATTGCAGATATGGGTTATATATGAAATCGAGATCGAGCTGGCAATGCTGAAACCTAGAACCTAGGGTAATACCAGTAGCCTCCACAACTACACCACTTTGTCTATTCAGAAAGTTTCAATAAATTTTAACTCTCTATTCTCTAGTTGAGTATGGTTAACACCATAATAATAACAATGGCAACAAAAGTGGCAAGAAAGAACAAGCCTGGTGAACTGAATGTGTTTGACACTTTATGTGAAGCAGACTTTGTGTTGCATAACAATGCTTTTAATGAAAGATTATTAAAATCCTATACGTTCATAACTACATGTACTGATACATCATAATTATGTCTTAAATACCTTGGTATCACAGAAACATATATTAAAACAATGATATAAAACAAAGCTCGTTGTTGTTTTTTTCTTTGTACATAAAATGATGAAGAGATCACATCTGCTAGAAAAAAAATTAATCTTCCAGCACATCAATGTTATTAATGCAGTTAAAGTCAGATTTTCATTTTCAAAATAAATAAATTCAAGCAGCTGCATACATGATATAAATCATAAAAATGAAGCAAATGCCCACATTGCACTGTCGTGTGAAATCTAAATCATTTATGTAAAAACACTGCTAGTATTCTAACAACACATAACATTTTACTACAATTGATTGTAAAATTTCTTTTTCTTTATAATCTTAATTTAAATATTCCTCTTTGACTCGTGAACATGACATGTTCAAAACTGACTGTACCAAGCAATAAAACTATTGTATAGAACATATACTGCTTTGTTTCTGTCCGTATTTTGGGGCAGGTGGTTTCGGGGGCTTCTTCTGGTAGCGTGCCTTGTCCATGTGAAAACCTCGCCTTCTGTTTGCTGTAAATGGAAATATTTTAATAAGATGATAGTTATAGGTAACTGTAATAATCAGCAAGTTATCAATTTCTTATTTCACACGATATCTATTTTAAAAAATTGCAGACAATAACCCTTAGCTAATACTTTTCAAAGATAAAAAACCTGAAATTTATAGGTTGACTGGCAAATCAAAAGTTAATGTTGCAGAGAGGAAAAAGTCAGCATTTTTATCTTAGTCATTTAAGTTTACATCACAGTTTCATAACAAAAAACATCATTATGTCTTAAATACCTTGCTATTACAGAAACATACCTCAAAAAATGATATAAAACAAAGCTTTTTTTGGGGGGGGGTCTTAGTACACTAAATAATGAAGAGATCACATGCTTGAAAAAAAAATTTCAGCACTTCAATGTTTTAATTGCAGTTTAAGTCATATTTTCATTGAAAGAATATTCTTTCAACCATTATACTTGCTGGCTGCACTTTCCCTTACCTTCTAAATACACCTCCCTATTGAACAGCCCGGCATTGAGTGCAATACTGAAAGAAAAACATTTATCTATTACTCCATTTGCAAATAATAATTTACAAATCCTATTCACAATCTGTGCAACAGATTTTACAGTTTTTTCCACAATATTTCTTTAATTGTGTAATGAATATCTGCCTTTGCAGGATGTGCATAAAATGCCAGTGCCTATAATTACTTGCATCTGCCTGGCTGCCTAGAGTGTGACGCACATGTGCAGTGCATATGCTGCAAATGTGCCACACACTTTGCTATGGTGCTTAATTGCCAGCCTGTTTAGAGTGTGCTGCACATGTGCTGCACACTTTTCATTCTGCTAAGGGTACTTACTTGTCTCTGCCAGGCCTGATGGTCACCTCATACAGCCCATACACTGGCTTGTGGTCGGAAAAGGTGAAGGACTGGACACTGTCATACACAAGACAAGAGATCGCATTCTTCTTTTTGCTGCGGAATAGTATTCTGTCCTAAAATTAAATTGTTGTAATTTTTATCAAGTGGAGATTTGGTTGAATCTGGAGGTAAAAGGATCCAAACTTTGGTCGTGGACTTTAAGGTTTTTTTTGTTTTTTTTTAACACAGACATGGGGAAAACGTTGGATTGACTGAAGGCCCAGCTAATTCAGTGGTCTGATAATCGATGTTTAATTATGGTATATCTTTATGTATTGTATTTCCACGAAAATCATGCCAGTCCACAAGACCACTATCAAAGATCTGGGCAGTCCTCTGGCTTTTCAGGCAGACATGACTGGTCAGACCAAGGGGCGGATTGAGACCTTCTTCTGGGTCTTTCGGAAGACAGTCAGAACTTCAAGTTTACATTGTCAGGCATGATTTTTTTTTTCTGTCAGAAGACTGTCAAAAAAGGAGGATGGGTCAACAAAGATAATTTGGAAGACTGTCAGAAAATATTTCTGGATTGGTCCCTGAGACCAACAGTCTCCTCACATCCGAAAACAGATCATGATTTGAACAGAAAAGTAGCTGTCAATTTCATTATTAATATAACTTACTGTATATGAAGGAATCCTCTGCTTTGGAGATGTATCATAGTCATCTGTGCCAATATCAAACTTGTAGGTAGGTGGGAAGCAGATTCTGCCCTCTTGGAAATGATCAAATATGAGACCTACAAAAGACATACAAAACATACAGTGACACTAATGGAGGTGCAAGAATAAAATGTCATTAATGTGGACAAAATTTTATTTTCCAGCCAGTAACCAAGTATATATTCCTTGAGATGGTACTGTACGTGGCCATGGCTACTTATGTTTTGGTACGTACAATATATGTCTGCTAATACACTGCCACCCTCTCACAATACATGCCTTCAGCACCTCTCACTGAAGCCTGAGATATTTTAATTGGCAAACATGTATAATTCTCGGTTGACAGTGTATAATCTCACACATATCAATTTCAATTATAGGGAAAAGAAAGTACTCCTGGTGTATTTGTTGTTTAAGGGAAAATAATAAAAGTAAACATTCTTGACAAAGACTTAACTATGCATCATGTACTTTTCCTCACCTTCATTTTGCAGTCTCTTAAGTTGGTCCTTACTAAGTAGAACTTCATAATTGGGGTGTTCATCTTCAGCAGATGTATTGATGAGATTGACAACATTTTCTCTGGGATGGTCTATCCTGAAGTTGAGATCTCCACACCAGAATACACAGTCAAACCTGGCAGTGGCATCTTCTACAAATTATACAGAAACTATAGGTGACTCAGAGATAACTATTATGAATTATAAGAACTGTGATGTTTGAAAATGAAAAAAGAAATGTAGTTTTGTAGAATTGTACAGGAGTAGAAAAGCGTTTAGGGCAGCGTAGAACATCCATCAGGGCAGCTTAATTTTTTTTTATTTTTACTTTATTTGTAATGAATAACATAATGGCTAAAGAAAGAGAAATTGCAATAGTCCTAAGTAAGATGAAGTTCAACATATTTCAAAATTGTCAGACATATTGCCCCTAGCAATGACGCTCAACAAGAAAAAATAGGGAAAAGTAAAGATATAAAACCATTCAAACTGTGTGTAAGAATTGCAATTTAGAGAGGGAATGTTTCTTCTGTTTTTACCAATGAAATAGTTACTGTATGACAGCAGCCTTACTTTGCATAGAGTATGGGTTTGTGATCACAGTCCTTGGTAAAGCTATGCCTTGACTTATTTCATTGTAATCCCTCACTCTGTCATGCTCCTTGTCATCATCAGCTGAAAACAGAATAATAGAATGATAATATTCTGTGTGTAAACATTATTTCTCAAACTATCAACAAAAGGATTCCTTTAGGTTTTATTATTTGACATTGCATTAAGTTTTCAGTTTCATTCAATGGGCCTAACTTTAGTGATAGCAAGTAATATCACTTCTGGGTACTTGAAAAACGAGGGAATCAAACTTTTTTATCTTATGATAAGAAAATATTTTCTAGTATGAAAAAGATAACAGCATAACCATATACATTATGTTTACTTTGTGTACTTACAGTGAAAGTGACAGCCCAGGAACAGGAAAGATGTTCCAAAGAGAGTAAATGACAGCACCACAGCACCTTTGGTCTTGATCATGGCAAACGCACGTGTGGTCACACGATCCTCTTCACAAACTGAAATATCAGTCACTCTTAATCTCGATGCATTTGATCCCTAATGCAATCAAGTGCTAGTAGTACGCTGTATAAACAGTTTTCACATTTTATGGCAATAAATTTATGTCTGGAAAACAGATGAGTACCAGTACATACATGTAGCATAAAAATGTTCCCATTATAAAATATTGCTGGCATCCTGAATATGATTATTTCATAATAGGATGCAACATGGAATACAAACAAAATACTAGTGGTAAAGACGATGTGTGATATGAAATCAAAATAAATGATGTCGCATAGAATTTTTTTCCAAAAATAAACAGACCTTCCTGATTCTGATCAGAATTCATCATAATTCAGATTGGACCCTTCCAGCCAAAAGGGGCAGTTCTTTAACCCCCCCCCCCCTCCCCCCCCAAACTCCCTTTTTCTGTGCACCTGATCATACTTTTTTAACTAGCTGAATATCTTAATTAAAATCAAATATAAGAATTCAAATTACCTGAGCAATACCAGATGAGTTCCCTCTGTAGAAATAATGATATATGTAGAGAACCGTGGATTGCTGAATGTAACAGTACAAACTGAGGCCCCAGAGTTTCCTGGAGCTTGATTTCCCAGGCTTTCCTAGAATAACAATAAAACTTTATCGATCAAATTGTGATCTAAAGGTTTTTTAATGGCATATTTTTACAACACAGTAACTGTGGCTACTAAGATTTTTTACAATACTTACTCTTACTAGACTAGTATATGACATTTTCCAGTAACTTAAGCGAGTAAATACCAAATCAAAATTCTTACCCATTTTGTATAAAAATATACAAAAATTTGGCTTCAAGCAACCCCTATCATTAGTTGTGTAAGTCTTTATAACCAATATAGATTATACTGCATATCAAGTTAATTAAAATCTTTAACTGGGCTTTGTAAATGTACCTGTCTGTGTCCATCTCCTGTGTTGCAATAACATAGATTTCTGGAGCAAACATGATGTTGTCTGGCAGTAGAAAGTCATCTATAGATTCAGGATGACCCTGCAAATCACATTAGAAAATTAAAACTTGTGGTCAATGATGTTTGATTGCTGTTGCTTATTTTCTTGCTTTTTTTTTCAAATAATATTATTAAATCAGAGCAAGCTTAATTATAATGGGGAAAAAACACCACAACCATCTTGTTAGAAGTGTCTTACAAATCAATATGTATATTATAATTAGCTATCACTTCTTAATATGTGGCTGGTAATTTAGATATTTACTCATTCGAACCATAACCACTACAGCTAGCTTTGCACCAAAATAATTCACAGAAAGCTTTCCCATGCAGCTCAACTCTCCATACAGCAGAAGATAATTATAACATTATAATCCAAAACAATCTACATTGCAGTCAGCTTATTACCTTCTGTTCCGCCATGTTCCAGGTACCAACAAACACACGCACCTGTCTGTCCACCAGGTGGCGGTCAAGTTCTGAGGTTCCCATCAGAGATGTAGCACCGGTCATTCCGCCAATTAAAAAGTTCCTGAAATAAATCATCATCATGGTCAGATAAACTGCATATAACCAGGGTGTCAGATGCACCTTTGATAAAGCAAATGGACAAAATTTACTTCCAATTAAAAAATTGAGTATGACTTCCATATTTAATATTCATGCTGAACTACATTACAATATCTTATTTATCCATAAAGGTAAACATTTATATCAGTTTAAGTTACAGTTTTTAATCAGCCTGTTTGAATATATATTTTTGTCAACAGATCCACATGAAAGTTCGGAGGCAGACCTTTTGCTGCCTCAGGATTGTAAAATGGAAATCATCTAAAATAGCCTAAAATGAGGTCAACAGTATGGGACCACTCCCACAGACATTTACATCAATCTATCTCCCTGGGGAGTCTCACTAATCAACTTGACCGGCTTAAATGTCTGTCACGCCTAGAAAAGATGTAAGGGGGTAATTATCTTTACCCCCTAACTGATTCAGAAGGTGTGACAGACATTTAAGCCGGTTAGATTGTAGCAATTTAGTGAGACTCCCCAGGGAGTTAGACCGATCCAGATGGATCGATCTAGGCATGGGAACCCTGTCTATGTGATGTCATGTGAGACTAGAAATCATGGCTATTTCAGATGGTTCCCACTAAAACCTCACCTTTCCCTGAGTTGTGCCGTGGACAACATCTTCAGAATCCCAGTAGACGCTGACGTCTGGTGCGACAGTCCATCCAAGGTACCTGTCCGTAAGGGAGAGTCCGTTTTATAGGATGTCTTTAATGAAAAAGAGGTCATATTTTTCGACAGAGGTGGAGGGGTGTTTGTCGGCCGCAATGGTGGCAGCACATTCTTTCCAACTGGTGGTTTAAGAGGAGTAAAACCTAATGTGCTGTCTTTGCTATCAGTTTTATCAGGTGTGTTGTCTAATAATTTGGCATATTGTTCTGTCAGTTCTGATTCACTATCTGTCTCCTCTTTGTTTACTTCCTCCTCCTCCTTTTCTTCCTCTTTTTCTGCTGACCAGCGCTCTTTTAATTGATCATGGAACTTTGAACTTGATTCAGGTTCCTTGTCAACAGGTTGAGGTGCTAGTGCTTTGTCAACTGTGCCAGCAGCTTGTGGAGGATTGAGAGCCATGCCCTCAGTCTGTCCTACAGAATTCACACTCGCCATGCTCCCGCCAGACTCATAATCGGACGCTGCCTCTCTAGATAAGGGTATGAGATTTCTCCGCCGAGCTGGCTGTGGGGTACCTTGAATATTTGAAGTTTCCGGGGGATGTGGTTGAAACCTGCTATTGCCTAAAACAGGCTGATTGTTCACAGTGGACGTTTTTATGTATGGCTTGTCACCATTTACTTGATTAAGCTCAGCTAGTTCTTTTTCATCCGCATCTTTGAATATATCCTCAGGTGTTGGTATTTTGGCAGATTTTGCCTTAGGGGTCCCCTTGGATTCGTCCAGGAGATCTGACTGGGAGTGCTGCCCCTGCCAAGTCTCATCATCTATCACCATTTCAACGTCAGCATTTTTATCCTCCTCCACTGCAGTATCGGACCTCAGAGATGTGTTTGATCCCTCTCGTTTTTTAGCTGCCAACCTCGCCAGAGCAGATTTCTTTTTTCTCCTCCCACTATTAAGACTAGACTGTGAACCCATTTCATTGTCATCTGCCTGGCCATTTAGCTGCTCTCGGTTGTCGGTGTCTTCAGTGTTTGTAAGACCTTTGTCTTCTTTTTCATTTAACGATGCTCTAGATCCACTCAAACTTTCTGTGTCACTTTGTCCCATGCCTTTCCTTTTACCTTTATGCTCGGCAAGTCTGGATAAAGCTGACTTTTTCTTTTTGCCTGGATAAAAATTACAAAAAATATTACAATAATCCAATGTATCTTCACCATCAATTATAATTATGCCTTTGGTGTTCAAACTGCATCAATGTCAAAATACAGTGACACAGGACATCTGCTGAGATTTGTATATATACCTATGGGGGCTTGATTTGGGACAATTTATTTTAAACCCTCCCCACATATATATATATATATATATATATATATATATATATATATATATATATATATATATATATATTTGGTATGCTAGCTAGTATGAGCACTAGTATGTTCATGTACAAAATCAGCATGCAATACATATGCAAACACATAAACTGCACATCATCATATAAAGCGCTTACATGTTTTGACATTTACCTGTTTTGGGGCTATCCAAAACTCCACCATTTTCTAAGAGAGGGCTGGAGATGGCGCTAGGTGAAGGTTTGTCTGGGGGATCCGTGCTACTCTCTGCCGGACCAGCCACGTCATCGAGGTCAAATACCAAGCTCTCCATTACCTGTATCACTACAATGACAAAACGGGGGACATACTGTAGGGATGATTTAGTCTCTCTTAATACCATCGATTTTATTTTTTAGCAATGTTGTTATTAGATAAACACTGCTTGTCTGTACGACTTATTACTGGTATAACTACAACATACTGCTTATGAAAGTTATCCAAACGTTTCTTCGATTACTGCTCTTGTTGTAATAAAAGTATTTGTCGGCCTACTTCAGTGTTTCCCCTGGCTTTCAAGCTCTGCGAGGTGGTAGGCAATCCGCGATCCCAGCAATACTAGGGGGGTCCGGGGGCATGCCCCCCCCGGAAAATTTTTTTAATCGAGGTGCAATTTGGTGCATTTTAGGGTATTTAGAACTGATTTTTTTTACATTTTATGTGGCACTGAATTGTCTTGTTTTAGATGTTTTGAGGAGTAAATTAAGTAATGACATAACAAAGGTTTGGACAAAATTTATTTTCCAGTATGCATTCACTCAGTTTAGTCCTTTTCAGTTTATAGAACATACTCTTTCAAGAAAAAAAAAGTTAATACTTACAAGAAACAAGAAAAAGGGCTTACTACATTGAATTATTTTCAAATTGACCAAAAAGTTGATAAAATATGTTGTTCTTACCGTTTTCACATTTCTGAAAGTAACTGGTCAATTGACTTTGCGTGTGGGAGCGCTTCATCCTAATATAAAACTGCTTCAAAAAGTTCTCTCCCTTAATTGTCGTTCAGCGCAAAGCGACTCCCGCTACTAGTTATAGGCCTACGTAGTTTGAGATGTAATTTATAATCAACAACTTCAAACACCGTTAAATGAATTCTTCGGAATTAAAGAGATGAAAATCACACTTATCATCAATTTTAGTTCTTCGTTTATTCATTTATATGGTTCTATTCGGTCATGGGAATTCATATTCAATGCATAGGTTTCCACGCGAAATACTGACGTGACCCAGTTTTACAACGCTACTGCTTTCACAAAACTTACCCGTAAATCAATAGAAAATCTTCTCCAAGTTTATAAAAACAACGAAGGCCACTTTATTTGCTCCTTTTTTATCAGTGAATATTCGTAAACTATAAAAACAAACAACAGGCAGTCTGAATTTCGGAACATGAAGTGACAGAGAAAGTGTATTCTTGACACGTGATTAAATGGTGTCAAGAACAGTTGCCTCGTTTCGCTGCGTCTCTCATACTTCACAGAACTGCGAAAACGAGGCACTTACAGGGAGATAGTAACTGCTGGTTATTTTTAGGCATACGCGCATGCGTATTTCCGTTACTGCTAAATCAAGTGCTCAGAAGCATGGGATTACGTATGTAAACAGAAAATGCCATATTTGCTTAGAAATAAATATAANTTTTTTTTTTTTTTTTTTTTTTTTTTTGATGCTAGCTAGTATGAGTACTAGTATATTCCTGTACAAAATCAGCATGCAATACATATGCAAACACATAAACCGCACATCATCATATAAGCGCTTACATGTTTTGACATTTACCTGTTTTGGGGCTATCCAAAACTCCACCATTTTCTAAGAGAGGGCTGGAGACGGCGCTAGGTGAAGGTTTGTCTGGGGGATCTGTGCTACTCTCTGCCGGACCAGCCACGTCATCGAGGTCAAATACCAAGCTCTCCATTACCTGTATCACTACAATGACAAAACGGGGGGCATACTGTAGGGATGATTTAGTCTCTCTTAGTACCATCGATTTTATTTTTTAGCAATGTTGTTATTAGATAAACACTGCTTGTCTGTACAACTTATTACTGGTGTAACTACAACATACTGCTTATGAAAGTTATTCAAACGTTTCTTCGATTAATGCTATGGTTGTAATAAAAGTATATGTCGGCCTACTTAATCTACTACAGTTCAGAGGTAATTCAAAAACACTGATGGAAAAAAATGTGGAGACAAAGATGTAAACATCCGTTGCTATGCACGTTATCAGTCTTTACACTGCGCCAATTTTTAATCGTGCCTCAACATTAGGTGAATATTCAAGTCTCCTTCCTTTGCTGAGAGCCACAACGCTATTTAATTGATATTTAAGTTTTATCTCACCTTTTATATCCTACAAACTGTCAACCAATAACTTCGGTTCGCCATGATGGCTTTTCTGCTTTAATACGCATGCGTGAAACCATTTTTAGCTGTCGCAAAACCCAGGGAACGCGAATATAAACTTCTTATTTAAAATTCGATAACAAAATGAATATCTATTTATTAAAATATAACAAAAAACTTTTTTATTGTAAAATATGAAGTCGAAACTGGACATTTAAAAGCACGAATGAAGCGAAAGAATGAAGACCAGTTGCACTTTCCGGTGGGAGGTTTATTCAACGGCGATGCTCCACATTCACAAGTAACCACATACGGTTAAACAGTTGCCAGGCAGGAGTGACACATGAAAGGTGTGTGAATCCGTTTTGTCAATATTTGCCCACTTTTTGCTGCTTCTCTTTGTCGACTGCGGTTCTTTAAGGACACTTCAGTAAATGTGTTTTATTAGTTTAGGGGCACGCGACTGTGGGGAAGTCTGTTGGAGTCGTAAAAGTCATATTAAAAAGTGCGCTGAACTGTGAACCCTGAATCGGCTTCCAGTAACGTTTGTGAGCATTTGCGATGTAGCAGGGAGTGAGGTTCGCATCGGTGCCACATAGCGCACCAAGACTAGAGGCATTGTAGAATGGGATTTATTGTAGACTTAAAGTGCTCAGGAGCCTTTATTTATGCGTATTTAATTTATTGTGATTAATTTATTGGTGTATTAATTCAAAAGAAAATGCAAAAAGGTAGATAAAAGATTATTTTATTTTGCCATCATCTTGTAGTGCAAAAAAAGTTACTGCAGTCTTGTTAAAACGTATGTGTGTTATTCTCACATATGAGAAAAAAAATGCTTTAAAACTGTTATAATTTTAAAGCTATTTGGTGTTTATATGATCCATAAATCTGTGTTAACTTGAAAACTTATAGGTGCACCTATGTATAGAAGAGGTGTGGGATTTGATACAACAGGCAGCATAGATGCCGGAGATATGTCTTCCAGCATCTTTCAGTGGACACACAGTCATGTCAACTGATGAGAGGAACGAGGCCAATCATGAATACAACTTCTTTCTGGACAGAAAGATACAGGAACAATTATTTGATGCAGATGAAAATCTGGACAAAACTGCTCAAACCAATACTCAAATCAAAACTCCAAGGAAAGGCAATACCAGCAAAAATTCTGTGCAATCCCAAACAGAGATTTGTGAGTGGATCCCTAGAACCGGTTTTGCTTTACGTCGTCCAGAGAAAGAAATTAACAACAATAACAATGGCACATCCAAAAAGAAGGAGGACAGCTCACATGGTGCACCGGCAAACTGGAGAGACCCTCATGGAAGACAAAAAGAAATCGATTTTAAATTCAGACATTACTATGATATTAGAAAGTACATAGAACAGTATAGAAAACACCATACCTGTCAAGTTCCTGTGAGGGGGCTGTCAGGTAAACTTTATAGACAGTACCTCCAGCAGGCTCAGACACAGACTTTTGAGCAGAACTTTGCCATTGGTGCAGGCTACCAGGAGCCAAAGAGCTGCACCCCTCCAGAACTCATTCACGTCAATCAAAGCAGTAATCAGGATGGATATAAGTACAAAACAACCTCGCGTGCCATAAAATATGATCATGACTATGACAAGGGACAGTCGAGTTTTGGGGAACGTTCTAGTAAGGGACAGAATTATAATGTGACGCTAACACCCACCAAGGTGGGTGTGCGTGATGGCGTACCCTACCCCATGTCAGCGTCCCCCAAGGTGCTACGCCAGCCCCCTGGAATGCCAGTGGTCAAGTAAGTGTTCCTTTCAGTTATTGATATTTATATGTCTTGGTGCATTAAATGAAATAATGTTAAAATGTATATGGAATGTTAGGGCAGTACTGGTCTTCAAAGTATATCCAGTTTAAATCAGATTCTTAATTATTTTTTGAATATACTGTACTAGTATATGTTTAAAAGATGACTTGATTATTTTTGAAAAATTTAGACAATTTATCCTAATCTGAAATATGTACTGGTATGTTTCTAAATGACCCCAAAGCAACATTTAGTTCGATAATTTCCAGATGATAGGATCCAGTCATGATTCAATAACCTGGTGCATTGTAATTAATTACCTAAATTGTGATTAAATAAAACATTTGAGAATGACTCATTTTTAAAAAGGCATTGTTAATTGCCATACTTCACTGTGTAAAATGATAAAAGATATATTTTAATCCCTTTAAAGCATTTTGTAAGTGTTAAATGTGAGATTGATGCATAATTAAGTAGCCTACTTCTTGTTTAGAGAGCAGGGATTGTGCAGCTTAAGCTATTGATCTGTTTGTGATACCTGCTCAACTTAAGGAGAAAGATCAATCATCATCAATATTTACAAAGAGTTACATGGTAGCATGGTTATGTAGTTCTTGCCACTTAAACATGCAGGTGTGGTCTTGGGGGCAAATATCTACAGAGTGTTTGAAATGGTACTGATCTTTGTTGTAATTGATCAAAGATTAACCCAGGTGAAGCACATTTGTATAATTCTACATAGGGGTTGTTAGTAACCAGAAAATACCCAGATTTCAGGATATTGACTGTAGTGCAACGTACCTCCTTTAGTAGATGATCTGTACCGGCCTACAGTCTAATGAACACTGTTTGACTGAGGACAGTCATGTTATGAAAGCTTTGACCTGTACGCAGCCATTTCAAA